TGGGAAGACCAGCAACAAGGTCCCGTTTGTGCATGGCCCGCAGGCGCTGCACAGACGGGTGACCAAGGTGGTGGTGCCAGAGGACGGTGTCGTTCGCCAGAGAGCGACACGAGCAGGGGGCGGACAGCTGACCTGACGCTGACGCAGACGCAGCTACCTGAGGGGACTCAGTGGTCAGTGTGTACAGGTCAGACCCCGGCTCTCGAGTGAAAGTAGCTAGGTGGCGGCCCGTCCGAGCACACGTGCAGTGAGTCACACGCTCGTAGGCAGGGGTGAACTGGTGAACACCCCCGTCCTGGAGCGCACTACCTGCCACCAAGTTCGTGGAGAACGAGGGGAGGTAGAGACCTGAGAGCGTGCCGGACGGAACCGCTGGACACGGAAGGGTGGTGGAGGAGGTCGCAAGGACCGGACCCCCAGAGGGGTCAGCAAGAGAGACAGCAACCGGCCGAGCTAGAGGCTCAAGGACAGTGCGGTCACGAAAGAAAGAGCGAGAAGCACCTGAGTCCAGTGTGAAGGTGTGCAGTGCTGCAGTCGACTCAGTACCAGGGGGCACAGACGCACAAGCACCTAGAGCAGCAGCTGCAGTAGTACCTGTGGAAGCAGACACACTAGCACCTAGAGCAGCAGCGGGGCTGGCCTGAATGCCCGGGTCGGGCGGAACACGCAAGTACTGAGCACCCTCTCCACTAATAGACATCGCATACATGGCAGTGAGAATAGCATCAAAGTCTAGTGCCCAAATATCAACACCCTTCCTGAGCAGCTCAGCCCAGCGCGGCAGCTCACCCCCACCAGGAAACTGGGTGCGCCACGCATCGTTGAGGCGGGCGAAGCAGCGCTCCGTCTGGTGCGGCCCCCCACACGTCTGGCCAGTGCGGTCACCTGTACGAATAACGTACTGGCAGGTGACGCTGCGCCGCGCATACCACTCACGGGCGGCCTGAAGGGTCGGGGCAGGCTGCTGACTCTGACCGCCCCCCGGGCCTCCACGACCACCACCCCCTCCGCCTCCGCCCCGGCCACCTCCACCCCTGCCGCTGCCACGACCACCTCCGCCTCCGCTGCCACCTCCGCCCCTGTCACCACTCCCAACGCCGCTGTCACCTCCACCACTGCCGCCACTAGCCTCTCCAGTCGCACCTCCACCGCCACCACCTCCACCCCCGCCTCCTCCGCCACCACCCCCACTCCTGCCACTCCTGCCCCTGCGTCGTCCGCCTGAAGCAGACGCAGCCCCGACCTTCTCAGCACCAAGGAGGTCGACAGCAGCAGCAGAGGCGACAGAGGGGAGGAGGGGGGAAGGGGAGCACCCCTCAAAGAAGGGGCCGCGGGGGTCGCCACGAGAGGTGCCTACAGCGACGATACTAGCCTCGGCTGCAAGCAGTTCCTTCTCGAGGAGGTCTACGGTGAGCTCAGTGGGGGAGCGAGAGAGGAACTGGTCCCTGACAGGGCGCAGAGAGTCAGGGAGGCGGGTGACAACGTGGTAGAGAGTGATCCAGAGCGGGGGGGGGTTGCTAGCGAGGAACTCGTCAGGCATGGCAGCGCGAAAGCGAGCCTCACTAGTCTTAAGGTGGGTGATGAGGTCTGCGACAGTGTGAAAGGAGGCTAGGTCGGGGAACAGGTAGGGGAGAGTGAGGCGGCCTAGAGTGGCAGAAGCGGGTGAGGAGTAGCGGGCCACTACAGCTGTGTAGAGGTCCTTAGCAGTCTTGCACTGGCCGAAGTGCTCGCGCTCATCTAGCGGCAGGGAGTTGCGAATAGCAAAGCGAGCGTGCGCGTCACGGGTCTGCCACTGTGAGCGCTCAGCTGGGGGGGCAGTAGCGAGTGGGGCGGTCGCATGGCCGAGAGCGTGGTCGTACAGTGTAATATCTTCCTTGGCAGTGAGCTGTAGGAAAAGGTGCAGGTCATCTAGCCAGGTTTCGAATTTGACCGGACGGCCCTCGGCGTCGAAAGCTAGAACAGGAGGACTAGCCATAGCGACAGCGGCAGTAGTAGAAGCAGTAAAGTCACTGAAAAGGCGTGCGCAGGGTCAGCAGGGCCGGTGGGGCCTACGGACTGTAGTGGCGCACAAGCAGCAGTAGCAGGAAGTGTAGTAGTAGGATCTGCAGTGGTGCACAGGCGCAGCAGGCGGCAGCGAGAGCCGGCGCAGCAGGGGCGGGCTCAGCAGCGGTGATACGCGAGCGGCGGCGGGCGCAGCAGCGGCGGTGCGCGGGCGGCGGCGGGCTCAGCAGCAGCGGTGCGCGGGCGGCTGCGGGCTCAGCAGCGGCGGGCCGGGAGCAGGCAGCGCGCGGGCCGTGCGGGCCGGCGGCGGTCAGCGCAAGAGCCGCGCAGGCTCAGCGCGGGCTGCGCGGGCTGCTCGCGGGCTGCGTAAGCGGGTCGCGGGCGGCTCGCGGGGGTTCGCGGGCAGGTCGCGGGCTGCTCGCGGGCAGTTCGCGGGCTGTGCGCGGGCTGCGCGGGCTGGTCGCGGGCTGCGCAGGCGGTTCGCGGGCTGCGCGTGGGCGGTTCGCGGGCTGTGAGCGCGGCGCGCTGTGCGGTTCGCGGGCGGCGTGACGGGGCCGATCGGGGCGCTAAGGGACAACGCGACGGGGGCCGTGAGAGGCCGCTAGGAAAAAAAAAATTCGAAGGGGGGCCGCAGGGCCGCTAGATCGTGCTAGATCGACGGGGCCAGCGGGGCCGGAAACAAGCGAAGGTAAGCAGGTAGGTAAGTCGGTGGGCCCTAAGAACAGTCCTAGCGAAGGACCTGCTCTGATACCATGTCAGAAATAACTGAGCAGGAATGAAATGAACTAGCACAGAGTTTGGTACAAGTAGGAAACCCTAACTTTGCGTACCCTCTAAGGTGTAACCCACTACAGCCTACACAATATAAACATACAATGTTTGATAGTGTGTTCACTTTGCTGAGGTGTTATAGAAGTGATTCACCCGCAAGTCGAAATGTGTCAATTCTGTCACTTTGACGTGGATTTCACGTGACTCAATAATTGGCAGAGTGGATTTCAGTAGTACATCCTAGAAAGTTATTTCACTCTGCCCAAGCCGCTTAAAAAAAAACAGAGTTAAAAGTTTCCATGTTTTGCCGCGAGTTAGGTTTAGAGAATGAGTCTTAGGAGAAGTTCGACTTCATTTCGTTACTTTTCTCACCCCAAGAATTCCTCCGAAGCGCGCACCAATCTTCCCTTCCAACCCCCTCATCCCCTCCTTCCTCCTCAACCATTCTCTCGCTACTTCGCAGTCAGCTACTCGAATGAGCTTTCAGCTTTGTACTGTCTTCATTTCAGCATTCTTGCTAGCAAACTATACTTAGTGACGAATACTTGCAAGAAGTCGAGATTACCTTCCAAGATTTTAAAGTCACAATCGTTTTGGTAAGAACCTGAAACTTTAGTGCCTCTTAATCATGTCTTAATGATACATATTTTCGGGTGCATTCGGAGCCATCTATTTTTCGTTTTTACTCCGTGATTTTCCTTTGGCGCTGGCGCGTCGGGCGCTGGCGTTTTTAGTGCGAGCGCCGTTGGGCGCTGGCGCCATTGGCGCTGGCGCTTTTAGCATGGCGCCGTTGGGCGCTGGCGCGTCGGGCGCTGGCGCTTAGCGCGGGCGCCTTTGGGCGCTGGCGCCTGGGCGCTGACGTGTCGGGCGCTGGCGCTCTTAGCGCTGGCGCCATTAGGCGCTGGCGCTTTTAGCATGGCGCCGTTGGGCGCCGGCGCGTCGGGCGCTGGCGCTTAGCGCGGGCGCCTTTGCGCGCTGGCGCCTGGGCGCTGGCATGTCGGGCGCTGGCGCTCTTAGCGCCGGCGCCATTGGGCGCTGGCGCGTCCGGCGTTGGCGTTCTTGTCGCTGGCGCCCTTGGGCGCTTTTTGCATGGCGCCGTTGGGCGCTGGCGTGTCGGGCGCTGGCGCTCTTAGCGCTGGCGCCATTAGGCGCTGGCGCGTCCGGCGTTGGCGCTCTTAACGTTGGCGCTCAAGGCGCGTCTGCGCATATCAGACGACATTGTGCCCTTCATCCTCAGATTAGGCCAGCAACCGCATGCTTTCATGCCCCATTTGCTCCTTCCAACGTCTTTCTTACCCCCTCCCGTCCCTCCCTCCATCGGTCCCCCCTCTCCTCCAGCGCGCTCAAGGCTCGTCTGCGCATATCAGACGACATTCTGCCTTTTAGCCCGCCCGTGGTTTAGCCCCATGTGAACTCATACCCCCCCCCCCCCCCCCCTGCCTTTCCGCCCTCTTCCCCCTCCCATCCCTCCAGCCGTCCCCCCTCTCCTCCAACACGCTCAAGGCTCGTCTGCGCATATCAGACGACATTTTGCCTTTTAGCCTCAGCATAGGGCAGCAGCACCCTGTGCATTCGTCATGCCCCCCTCTCTCTCGTGCCATCTCTCCCACCCCTCGCACTCCCCCCTCCCCCTCCCCTCCAGCCGTCCCCCCTCTCCTCCAACGCGCTCAAGGCTCGTCTGCGCATATCAGACGACATTCTGCCTTTTAGCTTCAGCATAGGGCAGCAGCACCCTGTGCATTCGTCATGCCCCCCTCTCTCTCGTGCCATCTCTCCCACCCCTCGAACTCCCCCCCCCCCTCCCCTCCAGCCGTCCCCCCTCTCCTCCAACGTGCTCAAGGCTCACCTCTGCATATCAGACGACATTCTGACCTTCAGCAGCAGCGTGTGTATTCATGTCCCCCTCTCTCTATCCGCCCTTCCCCCCGTTCCCCCCGGCCCTCCCATCCCTCCAGCCGTCCCCCCTCACTTCCAACGCGCTCAAGGCACGTCTGCGCAAATCCAACAACATTCTGCCCTTCAGCCCGCACCCCATTCATGCACCCTTTCTCTCATTCTACCCTCTCCCCCTCCCCCTCCCCTCCCTCCAGCCGTCCCCCCTCTCCTCCAACGCGCTCAAGGCGCGTCTGCGCATATCAGACGACATTCTGCCATTCAGCCCGCCCGTGGGGCCCCGCCTTGCCTCGCCCACCTCCTCCTCCTCTGCCGTTGCCCCCTCCTCCCCCTGGTCAGCAGGCGCCCACAAGCTCGACAAGACGTGAGACGCATGCAGGGGAGCGGGGGAGGGTGGTGAGGAGGCAGGTGGGGTTATAAAGGGTACAAAGGCCCTCCTCCTCCTCCTCCTCCTCCTCCTCCTCCTTCTCCTCCTCCTCCTCCTCCTCCTCCTCCTCCTCCTCCTCCTCCTCCTCCTCCTCCTCCTCCTCCTCCTCCTCCTCCTCGTCCTCCTCCTCCTCCTCCTCCTCCTCCTCCTCGCGGGCGCCGTGAGCGCTGGTCCTTTCCCCCATTTTCCTTGCCCAGGAATGGCCTGCCGTTTGGCTCCCTGGTGGTACCCCATGCTCCCACAGTGTAGGCTGATTCTACTCCCTCTCCTCTCCTCTCCCCATCCATTCACATCCCCCCTCACCACTCCTTTCTCTCCCACCTCCGTTTTTCATCCCATGTGCGGTGAATTCAGAGTCCATCGAGTTGATCCCGATGTACGGTTCAAAAACACATGTGCAAGATCAAGAGCCATCTCAAGACTATCGTGCTGCCATTGGGTAGCTGTTATGGAGAAAATCAAGCACATGCGTGCTTGCTACTATAAAAGAACCATTAGCTGGCTGGCTTAATGATACACTCTCTCTTCTATCCTGTCTGTCTTGGCCTATTCCCCACGAACTCCCCTCCTCAACTCCCTATACTCCAGAGGTGTGGTCAATTCAGAGTTGAAAGAGATCATCCCTCGGTTCAGTGAGGGTGGGAGATCAAAAGCTACCTCGACGTCATCGTGCTGCCAATCGGCCGGCTTCCCGTGGGGATCTGCCACCACCGCGCTCTGCTCTTCTTGGTGCTCCCTTCTCCTCAAGGTGCGCCCTGCTCTTCTTGGTGCGCCCTTCTCCTCAAGGTGCGCCTTGCTCTTCTTGGTGCGCCCTTCTCCTCGAGGTGCGCCCTGCTCTTCTTGGTGCGCCCTTGTCCTCAAGGTGCGCCCTGCTCTTCTTGGTACGCCTTGCTCTCTTGTTGGTGTTCCCTGCTCTTGTTGGTGCTCCCTACTCTTCAAAGGTGGGGCCCGTTCTTCAATAAGCGCTCTGCTCTTCAATGTGCGCCCTGCTTTTCAATATGCGCCCTTGCTTTCAAGGTGCGCCTTGCTCTTGTTGGTACTCCCTGCTTTTCAAGGTGCTCCCTGCTCTTCAAGGTGCGCCCTGCTCTTCTCGGTGTGCCTTGTTCTTCAAGGTGCGCCCTACTCTTATTGGTAGGGTGTTGGTGCTTATTGCTCTTGTTGGTGCTCCCTACTCTTCAAAGGTGGGGCCTGCTCTTCAATATACGCTCTGCTCTTCAAGGCGCGCCTGCTTTTCAATATGCGCCCTTCCTTTCAAGGTGCCCCTTGCTCTTCTTGGTGCGCCCTGCTCTTCAAGTTGTGCCCTGCTCTTTTTGGTGCGGCCTGCTCTTGTTGGTGATCCCTCCTCTTGTTGGTGCTCCCTGCTCTTCAAGGTGGGACCTTCTCTTCAATTATGCGCTCTGCTCTTGAAGGTGCGCCTTGCTATTTTTGGTGCGGCCTGCTCTTTTTGGTGCGGCCTGCTCTTGTTGGTGCTCCCTGTTTTTCAAGGTGCTCCCTGCTCTTCAAGGTGGAACCTGCTCTTCAAGGTGCGCCTTGCTTTTCAATATGCGCCCTGCTCTTCAAAGTGCGCCCTGCTCTTCTCGGTGCGTCTCGCTCTTCAAGGTGCGCACTGCTCTTATTGGTGCGGCTTGCTCTTGTTGGTGCTCCCTGCTCTTGTTGGTGCTCCCTGCTCTTGTTGGTGCTCCCTACTCTTCAAAGGTGGGGCCTGCTGTTCAATATGCGCTCTGCTCTTCAAGGCGCGCTTGCTTTTCAATATGCGCCCTTCCTTTCAAGGTGCCACCTGCTTTTCAAGTTGTGCCCTGCTCTTTTTGGTGCGGCATGCTCTTGTTGGTTCTCCCTGCTCTTGTTGGTGCTCCCTACCCTTCAAAGGTGGGGCCTGCTCTTCAATATGCGCTCTGCTCTTCAAGGCGCGCCTGCTTTTCAATATGCACCCTTCCTTTCAAGGTGCGTCCTGTTCTTCTCGGTGCGTCCTGCTCTTGGTGTGACTCCTGTAACACTCTAGTTCAGCCCTACGTTGCTGCAGGCGCAGGTATGGCCCTACCTATCTCTGTTGTTTCATCTTCTTTAGTATTATGCTCTTTGCTCTCTGTTTTCCCTACTTCACCATTTCTCTCCCACTTGGTTAACTTCCGTTTCAGTTCTTCCCAATTTCCCATCCCTCCAGAAATAACGTGTTTTGTGCTCCACTTCCTTTCTTCCCCACTCTCTTTCACTTCCCCCTTTTTCCCAATCTCCCACCTCGCCAAGGAGTGGATGTGCAAAGGCTGAATGTCCGGTCCACCTAGTAATTTGTTCCGTGCTTTCTTCGCCTTCCTTCCCCAGCCCGCCCTTCCTCACTCCTTCTTCAGCTCGCTGCTTCCCTGACATCCACCCTCCCAAGAAACGGACGTGTAGAGGCCGATCGTCCGATCCACCAAGTAACGTGTTCTGTGCCCTCTCTTCCCGTCTTTTCCACTCCCCTTCCTTTTCCTCTTCTTCCCCCTTCCCACCCTGCTAGTGGACGTGAAGTGGCTGTTACTGCAAGCCACCTAGTAACATATACTGTGATCTCTCTTCCTTTTTTTCCAAGCCCCTACATCCTCTCTTTCTGTTCTCTGCTTCCCAATCTCCCACCTGGCTTGGAAGTAGACGTGCAGCGCAGTGAGCGCTGACACATGGCGCCTTGAGCTCTGGCGCCTTTCCATTCACCTTTTCCATTCTTTTTTTTCTTTACTTGCCGTTTGCCCTCTCCCAGCACCCACCTTATGGCAGGTCATTCACCAAGTCCAGTACAAATAAATCAGCGCTTCGCGTTGGTCCACCTTTCACTCCATCTTCCTTGCCTTTCTTATTTGCCTTTTCGAACACTTTTCCACTCTTTTCCTCTTTTCTTTGCCGTTCGCCCCTCCTTGACACTCATTGCGTGGCAGGTCATTCAGTAAGAATCCCTTCTCGACCGTTATCTCAACACCTAAAAGAGCGCAAGGACTTGTAAGTGCACGCACACATGCACCACTGATTCAGTCACTAGATCAGCGCTTGCACATCTATCAAGTGCGTATGCAGGCACAAGTGCGTGGGTGAGTGCGAAAGTGCGCGTGAGGGTAGGCACATGTAAATGATATGTGCAAAGGATATAGATTGGTATAGCTACTATTTTACAACCACAATGCAGATGATTGTTGTTTTAAGCCCTTTTCTGATAATCTTTTATTGTTTGGTCATTTTCCTTCCTTTCCTTCCAATGGTTTATGCTAACATAGTATACTTTCATGCCAAATTTATAACTTTCTACTATTACTTTTCTTGCTATCATGTTGTCGTGGTTTTGTAGGTATTTTTATGTGACGACATCGTTCACATCCAAACCATTGCCTTAAAGTGAGACATTGCATTCACAATTATCATTTCAAATATATACATTATGTATGTTTGTAATGTGATCATTTTCGTACAACTACATTGGATCCTTTACATCAGCGAGATGATAACTTGTCTTTAGAATTATCATAGAGATTTTATAGATAACGCCGGAGATCCGGTAATTTGTAGTTAAATTGATATACCTTACTACAGATTACGCCTCACATCACCAACATAAGGCTTGTCTATCCTCCCTTGTTACACTGCTTTTCTGAAGCGTCTTAAATTATTTGCATCCTACTGCTTCTCTCATCGCCCTCACTCTGCTTGCTGCTGCTGCTAGCCCTGTAAGCGTCTACACACCTAGCTTATTTCATCGTTCCTACTTGCATGATACTTTGCATCAACCTCTTGTCTTTTCCTTCCTTCAGCCTTGTCTTGCCCCAAGCTGCCCTCAATATTGCATAATACTTGCGACCCATACGTTCTCTCGTCTTCTTCTTCCTCCCCCCCATTGTTTCTCGCTTTGCTGCTCCTTTGAATCGTATCCGCACGTTTTGTTCGAACGTAGGTTCTTTTGTTCTCTCCCTTCTTGTCGTAAAAGAACGTTGGTTTCATGATAATCCCACGCATGAATGTTTAATTCATTGTCAACTTGCACTTTTATTCTTTCAACCCACCAGGCCCCCTCAGATCACTCGTACTAGCCCTTGCCATCCGTTCCTTGCTGCACCGCTTCCTAGAAGCACCTCTCATCTTCAGTGGCCTGCTGCTGCTATTATTCACCTTCGCCGGCTTACTGTTGCGCCTAGTCTCGTAAGAGTCTGCGCACCCAGCTTTGTCGATCGTTTCTTCTTATAGAATGGCTTGAACCTGCCTCTGTTTTGCCTCTTTTCTACCTCACCTTTATCTTGCTCACCAAGCATGTTAAATTCAGTATTTCTGAAGCTTTCGTATTTATTTTACATTGCACGTGCACCTTGTACATGTGTTCAGAGATACTTTTGTGGTTCGGTTGGACGTACGCTCCGTTATGGCCAACTCGGATGTCATCTTTACGGGAGAGCGGACAGACGGTGAGTTCCATAAGCAATATCGTTTAGAGTTGGTACAAATTTCAGGAGATGGTAATTGCTTGTTTAGAAGTTTATCCATGGGGTTATACGGTACGCAAGAATTGTACAAAGACGTAAAACAAAAAATCTTGCGACACGTTGTTGAAAATTGGGAGAAGTCAGAATATGAGTATCCTGTAAGGGCTAGTGTGGGACACGAGCGCCATTTCGAGTCAGCTAATGAGTATTTCGACTATCTTTCAGTTGATGGAACTTATGGATCTAGTAACGAGGTGAGTGCATTTTCTGTTGTGTACAACACGACAACGATTATTTGGCAAAGTACAATCCAGTTTGTTGCTTGTTATCGGGCACAACAAGGTACGCCTACCGGGCGTGTGATGCATTTGCATTTCGATTATTCTGGAGCACATTACTCTTTACTCGTTCCTACTGAAAACGGCGTCATATACGGCACTCGATATCTGTCAGATGAGTATATGATGGACATTCGGATGGCTGTACCAGATGTTTTTCGAAATCAAGACCGCGTGAATTTGCCAAGAAACCCTGTAAGTCCTGTGAAGTCTGTTGATGATGATTTGCACGAGGTTTCATGTGAGTCTGTCGCCAGCGTCGGTACAGTTTGTTCGACAGATGCCTCCACGAGTTCACATACCACGCGTCAAGTTGACAATCTCGAAGAACGACCCGTAAGAGTTTGTCTGGAAGGACGTGCGTTACAAGAACGTCACATTTCGGAAGCTCGTTTCTGTATTTGTCGTGATTATTCACAGACACAAGACGTACCAGAAAAACGGTATCTCGGTGTAAGAGCGCTCACTCGTGAATTCAAGTTTCTTGTCAACTACAACAAGAAGCAATATTCATTTTCTGGTTTCCAACATGCTGCAGATGCAGCCTTCGCGAGGGCATATTTCATACACCATAAAATAGGTGATACGCAGGGGTATGCCATGGATGTATCTTTTGGATTGCACGTCGATTCTGGCATTCCTATTCGAAATGACGAACTCGACTTGAAGTTCAAAGACGTATCAGTAAAAAAGAAGCCTTTTAAGAAAAAAAAAAGGACAGACAATTGATAAAGTTTCATCAAGATTCCAAGTGCGGACCTGAGATAGAATGCCAATCATGCGGTACACTAAATTTTGAGCATTATATGGTTGGATCAAAAACTGAGCGATCATTCCAACGTATATGTCGATATTGAGCAAAATATGAAAGCGACGGAAAAACGTCACCATTGTCTAACCTTAATCAACATGGTTTCTCCACAAGACCATTGGATTTTTCAGATATAACACCATTGGAAGAGCGTTTAATGAGTCCTCGTATACCTTTTATGAAGATTCATTCTTTGTCTGTTGGAAAACAGCTCGGAATACGAGGCGGTGTAATAAATATCCCCGTTAAAGTAGATGAAATGGTGCATGCCCTTCCACGATTACCAGATGAAACGCATACTATCAAAGTACAATTGAAACGGAAGCTTGTTTATAACACCAACGTTCTAGAAGAGAATGTACGGCCTGCAAAAATTCTTAAAACATTGCGTTTTCTTTGTAGTCAAGACCTTTTCAAGGAGTACGGCATATATCTCGACAAACACAATATGAAACAATACGAGGACCGTGATGATGCGTCGATATCAAATAATAGTACCAACAACAATAACAAAAAGCCACATGAATCAGCATCTGCGTCCTCAGATGAAAGTGAAGATGCTGATGATCACAATGTTGGTGTGATTGATACTCTTTTAACACAAGAACCATTTTATCAGCAACCTTCACAATGCATTGTCCAGTTGGCACCTGGTGAACATGCAAAACCGATGTCTATTATACTGGATAAAGACGTCGAAGAATTAAGTTTTCCTACGATTTATTGTGGTCAACGAAGATTTAAAGGATCGCATGATGTGAACGTTTCGTGTTCGGATATAGCCAAGTGGGAACTGAAACATGTCAACGGTCGTTGCGCAACCAATATTCCGAATATATTCTTCAAACTGTACAAAAAAGAGATTCTTCAAGTGCAAAGCGTGATTGCTACTAGGGTTAGACAAGACAAAATTGGAAACTTGCAAACGTTTACCGCAAGTGACATGTTAATGTCAGAATGTTATTATTGTCTAGCCTGTAGTGGGGTGCTCTATAGCGAGTACAACCCAGTTAGGGTTTGCTATATGTACCCCAACTGCTGCTAGTGAAACCTCTCCTTTCAATCATTCTTGCCTAGTCTTTTTGACATGCTATCAGAGCAGGTCGACCCTCCTGGGTCGATCCTGTGGGTGGGCCCACCACCTAATGCTTCCGCTGCTTTACTTCCTGCCGGGCGCCTCGGGCGCGCGACGACTTCTTCCTGCCGTGCGCTCGGGGCGCGCGGCGGTTTTCTGCACGCCGTGCGCCCCGAGGCGCGCGGCGGTTTCCCACCGTCGAAGTGCCCCCCGTCGCCCGTCGAAGCGCCCTCCCCCCGTCGCCCGTCGAAGCGCCCCCGTCGCCCGTCGGAGCGCCCCCCGTC